AAAATTACCTATTTAGACATACTTTAAACGTATTAATAAGCTCACTTGCACACATACGCATTAACGAACTGAAGTACTCATATAGTTAATCAGTTATTTCTACATTTACTAAATCAAGGTTCCTCAGTTATTTCCTCTGTTAATCAATGCACATATGATACAAACATCAGCTAGTTAGATGAGCTCAAATGAATGACAGTCACGCTTCAGCGTACGGAATGGCAGCACCTTCCACGGTGGCCGGTCTGGAAAATTTTCTATCTACGCGTCATGTTCAAGTAAAGTTGAAATTTAGTCGCTTCATTACGACTCCATTCGGCAAATGAAGAAGGGGGCATAAGTAGATTGCTATATGCCAGATTATGTCCCCTGAGCCAAAAATGTCTTTTGACATATTTTTCAGTTACCTAGCTGCAGGGAAGATCAACCCATTTCCCTGTACTTTGCCCTGCAAAATCATGTCCTAACTTCATTGTTCGCTCTCTCATTTGAACACGGGACTGGAATTATACGAATTTTTGACCACTGCAGATCAACAGCTGATTATATTTCAGTGCTTCATTCTGTACCAGGTTTGGCCATTCCTGACAGATTGCAAGAATAGTTTGTAACCGTTGGAATGTCGGTCTTCCTTGCACTTTCACGATGGAGCCATTTACAATGCCCTTCGTTTCACGAAGTTAATCGTGGAGTGCTGATCTTCATTTCTATGCCATTTATGAGTGCCCAATTTTCAAGGCAGAGTGGACACCGGATAAGTAGACAACATAGTGTGTAGTTTGTAGTTTCCTTAGAGAGTGGCACTCATTTATCAGCTGGCAAAAGATTTGACAGAGGAATCAAACTCGGAACCTCTCAGTTCTGATTCCGGCAGTCTACCAACAGAGCAACCCCGGTTTACAGCTTTAGGACTTTTTGCAACCGTGTCTTTAATGTTACGCTTTTGAGAGGAAGGTCATATTCGCTGAAAACCCCTTTTCACTGATGAAGAAAGTAGTTGGTGAAACATGAATATACGATGAGAGCAGGGATCAATCGAGTATAAGGACCGAGCTCATTTCTGCTCTCGACGGTGACAGACTACGTGTTAGGTAATGACCTTCATGAATGACATACATGGAGCCACATATTCCACGCTTACTTCCATATGTACTGAGACACAAGTTATTTCTTCACTTGTCAATTCATATGTACTTATTCATTCACGTAAGTTCATACGCCGCAGTACGTTGAATAACGCATAACTCCTTCAAAACGATTTCACAGTATCTTCCGCTACGCCTATTCTGGAGGAGTTATACATTATTTAGCATGCTTTGCCGTACAAATATAGTTTGATGGATAACATATAAGAGCGTCAGGTTGCAGTGGTGAACAGAATGATGCAAGAATCATGTAGCACTGCAGGTGTTCAAATATCACTGAGCCGTGGCCTGTTTAAATGCCCCCCCCCGAGACAAATGGGAGCAAGGGAGATGTGAAATACGATGTGCAGTGTGGCCTCGGAGGAGTAATGCACTTTTCACTCAGATGTTCTTTTCAAGACGCTTGCATGTTTAAGTTTACTTGTCAACTTCAACACTTATATAGCAACTAGTTTATTTATTCAGACAATCATTTGTTTGCTTACTTTGTTGCTAATTTATTTTCTGAGTTACGCATAGGAACAGGATATAACAGAAGTGCGCACAATCTGGCGAAAACGGAAGTTTACGATAGGTTTAGATGCGGGTGTGGAGTGAACAGTCAAACGATCAGCTATCTAATCACTGAATATCCGTTTAGTAGTCTAAATAGTTGTCAGGCAGAGCAGAGGCACACAAGTATCGAAACCTGCTCTGCAATTGCTCTCCCGTTGAATCCTCTATCCATGATTCGTTCCAAATTATCATAGGAGAAGAAGACAAGAATCACGGCATAAATGATAGCTTTTTGAGTTGAGTTGAAAAACTACCAACCATAAACTGACGTACCTATATGATCTCTAAACCATTTTGGGTTCATGTTTAATGGAGGACTGATGTTCAGGATGTGCGGATTTTCTGCCTTTTTCAAGTATGGAATGCACTTCTGCGACCTATAATGAAATCGTTAGCAGCCGAGTTCGACGAAAAGCACACCTCGACTCTGTACACGAGAAAGGTTCCGCGCGCGTTTACGTTCTGCATCAGGTCGTAAGTTTTCATTGCAGTCGCCAAGGTACCCGTAAGGCTGATGGCTGATGCGTTGTTCACCAGCGCATCTATGCCACCGAACGTGCTCACGGCAGTCTCTACCGCCTTTTCAACGTCCTCCTCGTTTCGGACATCGACAACGCATGGCAGACACCGGCCGCCCAGTGCTCTTACTATAAAAATATAAAGTTGGCAATGCATTTACGTTGTACGTGACTCATATATACTGGTTCCAATCAGCCGTTAAACAATACATATATAACGGTATAAACATTATACACTAATTATACGCTTCAGCACGTCACATGACGGATGAATTTGTCAAGACCAGATTTAGCGGGTTATTGCACCGCGATCTGGCTCCTACTTGCCTAACGGGCATTTAAGCAGGTCAGGGCTTCATAGTATTTGAGCATCTGCAATGCCAGATAGGAAAACGAGTCGATCGCACGTACTGAGAAACAGGATTATTCGTTGATATCGTTTAAGTAGGAAACTTTCACCTTTCAGTGTTCATTATTTCTCTGTGTTGAACGCAGAGATAGTTATTTCCCTGTTATAGGCGAAGCGACCAAGATCTAACTTACATAGGGCCTTAAGCGGTTCGAACATCAGAGACAGCTTACTGCAAATAGCTTATCAGTGAGGATGCAGATGTTTGTACCTTGCCTATAAATTTCTACAGTTCACTAGACTAACAGATTTTACTGACTGATCTAATGCAATGGGAATAAAGCCATCAAAACCATGGATAAATCATGAAGAGTTTAATACTATGTAAAACGCTATAAAAAGAACCACGACCCGTAGCCGGTCAAAAAATTTCTTGGTATGTAACGTGCAAAAAACAGCTGTTATTCGATCATTATGAAGTTACAACGAAGTCAAATTACCTTCATCTGCGGCAGTGTGTATGGTACCCCGCAGTTTTGGGTGCGGAGCCGCCGTTTTCGCAGCGATTACGATGTTGGCGCCATCTCTGGCGGCTGTCAGAGCTATGCTTTTCCCGATACCTCGACTGGCACCGCTAATAAATATGGTTTTGCCAGCGAGTTTTCTAAACATGTCGTAAACTTCACAAATTATTCTGATAAAGATGAATATCTTTACCCTGTGTTAATCATAATAATATAACTTGGACCCTGTGATATTAAGTATGAATCTACCTGGCAGCCACAACTACTAACAACAAAAACGCGCTTGAAAGCACAATGGAACGCAACAGCACATGGCAACTGTTTTTGTACAGTATTATTCTATATAGACTGCAGGTTGTACTTATATTTCAAGTTCAAAAGTCCTCCTTGACAAACAAATTTCTCATTCGGCTCCACAATATTACGTGGAATCGCAAAGGTTCGGTCCCGAAAATTGGAGCG